CACAATCCACTATTGTCTAATCTGTCAGACAGATAGTTAAAATAGTGTCTTCCACAATCCACTATTGTCTAATCTGTCAGACAGATAGTTAAAATAGTGTCTTCCACAATCCACTATTGTCTAACCTGTCAGATAGGTGGTTAAAATAGCTACTTCCAAAAGTCACTAGTGTCTAACCTGTCAGACAGGTGGTTAAAATAGCTACTTCCAAGAGCCACTAGCGTCTAACCTGTTAGACAGGTGGTTAAAATAGCTACTTCCAAAAGTCACTAGTGTCTAACCTGTCAGACAGGTGGTTAAAATAGCTACTTCCAAGAGCCACTAGTGTCTAACCTGTTAGACAGATGGTTAAAATAGCTACTTCCAAAAGCCACTAGTGTCTAACCTGTCAGACAGGGGGATAAAATAGCTACTTCCAAAAGACACTAGTGTCTAACCTGTCAGACAGGTGGTTAAAATAGCTACTTCCAAGAGCCACTAGTGTCTAACCTGTCAGACAGGTGGTTAAAATAGCTACTTCCAAAAGCCACTAGTGTCTAACCTGTTAGACAGGTATGATTTGGTCCAATTCACTATTCATTTGCACAATGAAATGAGTTTCCTGCAAGTCTGTTTCTTATGTGTAAAGTCCCAAGTCTAACTTTATACTAAATTAAGAACACAACCTAGTTTCTAATTGACTAGGGTTAGGAGATACAACAAATCACTTTGTAAGTGAAAGAAGGTTTATTCATAGTGAATCATTTACACATTTTTAATAAAATAAATCTTTACCAAATGTATTATAGTTTTTAACTTCATAAGACTACAAAGTTTTGAAAGCCACAAAATTCAGGAAATATTCACCTTGGCTCCAATAATTCATGATATACACACATCTTTATACATATTAAGTCAATTCTATATGTACACACAGTATCTATACTTATATTACTCTCTGGGTGAAACAAGTTTTTAATCCGAAGAAGAATGGTTTCATCTTTTAATGTTCCTTCACTTGATTCCTAGAAACTACCTGTACACAATTTGATTCATAGGAACTACCTGTACACAATTCATACAATACAGTACACACAATTCCTCATTTTTTACAATATCAATAAATTAGCAAGTCATCTGTAAGTGTTAATGATAAACAATTATGATGACAATGTTACAGTTTCACCAACAAAGACATCTGCTACTACTGCAACTTAAAAAAAGCAAAACTCTAAACGTTCCTCACATCAGGAACAATATCACTTGACAATCTTTGGAATATATGGTTTGTGACTACAAGAAATAAGACAAACTGTTCGAGGTAAATGGCCCCATAATAAGACAAGCTGTTCAAGGTAAACAGTCCCATAATATCTGTTTTGTGCTTTCTGTCAAGCTATCAGGAAACTGAATAGCAAAACTAATTAACAAGTCTCCTTGTTTTGATGGTTCCTTAGGATGTGGAAGACCTTGTCCCTGGATTCTTTTAACTGTTTGTGGTTTGATAACTCCTTCTAATCGAATAGGGATCCTATCTCCTCTCAAGGTAGGGATTTGAATCTTTGTTCCACACAGTGCCTGAAATCACAAGAGAGAAAAACTTGAGTAACACATCACTGAACTATTTAAGCCTGCTAATAAGTATACATTAAAACTTTTCATAGTGATTACATATAGACCCTACAATTATAACAAAATCTAAGTGCATCCTGTTGGTCCATCCACTAAACTTAAAAAAAATAAAGAGATAAACAGGTTCCTTATAGAAAAAAAAAAATGGCTAAAAGTAACAGCCAAGGTTTACTTACAAATGGAAAGTAAGAAAAGTATTATAAGTTTAGAAAGTCTAAATTAACTGCTATGACAAGATACTTAGAGCAACATAAAAGCTTAAAAGAACTGGTCAAACTGGATATTAGAAAATCAAAAAGAGTACATGAAAATGGGGCTGGCTAAAATGTTAAAGTTTGCAGTATGTATTACTTTCAATACATTAAGGATAAGCAAAATGTTACAATGACCTTTGAGAGATGATATAAGAAGGCTCATTTGTAGTGATTAGGAGAAGGTGGGAATAATATTAGGTTCTATTTTATCTTCAATTTTTACTAATGAAGATTTAAGCAATATTCCTCATCCTGAACAGTTACCACATGGAAACAAGATGATCACATTCATTTTGAGCTTGGTAAACAAAATTGGGAAGTTTCAAGAATGATAAGGGTCCTGGGCCAGATAATATTTCCCCAATGATTTTTGATGGAGGTTAAGGATTGGATATGCGAGTCACTTGCTGCTATTTTTTGTAAATTCTCCTATAGTGGGCAGATAACATTATTCTTTTAAAAAGAGGTGATAAAAGTCATCCCAGTAATTATTAGCCTATTAGTCTTACACCAGTGGTGGGAAACATTTTTGAATATCTTGTCAAAGATGCTTTACCTGAACCATGTAGTTACTGATCTCCAAGTAGCATGTACCTGAACCATGTAGTTACTGATCTCCAAGTAGCATGTACCTGAACCATGTAGTTACTGATCTCCAAGTAGCATGTACCTGAACCATGTAGTTACTGATCTCCAAGTAGCATGTAGAAAGATTTTAACAAGCTTTACTATCACTTTGTGAAGTGGATTCATTAGCTTTCAAGGATGCTTTAGCTGAACCATGTAGTTACTGATCTCCAAGTAGCATGTAGAAAGATTTTAAGAAGATCACTTTGTGAAGTGGATTCATTAGCTTTCAAGGATGCTACTTGTTTTCCTGACAATACAATAGGTGTGGACTTTGTATAGTTAGGTTTTTAAAAAGCTTTCTATAAATGCCACAAATATTTACCTAAGAACATATATAAAGGATGAGTGTAAGATGGCTGTTTGGGAGTAAACAAAAGGATGTTATACATGGTGTCCAGTCAAACCAGACCCTTACTAGTAGTAGAATATCTCCTTGGATCATTAATGATATTGTCAGAACTTAAGATTGAAAGCAAAGAGAAATATACTATAATACATAAACCATACTGCAACTACTATATCCAATATCAAAGATGTCTTTCACCCAATATTTACAGATTTGTAACATTTGCTGATGACATTAAACTGTTTAGTATTTCTACCTGTAATGAGGATGATGAGGTATTACAGAATGATTTTGATCACTTTACAAGATGGATAAATATTTGGAAAGTTACTTTTAATTGTAGTATGTACAAGGAAATGCATTTGGATTATCATAACTTAATATAGCTGGGAACCCATTCAATAGCAGGAAAGAAGAAAAGTACTTTGGGATAATGGTGTGTGAGACTCAAGCCATCAAAGCATTGGCCTGCTGCTAGCAGTATAGCTATGAGCTTTTGGGTGTATTTACACACATACTGATTACACACCAAAATAGGTAATAAGCTCTGTACATATCACCTTGTTAGGCCTCACTTGGAAAACTGTTCACAGTTGTGGTCTCCTTATCTACAATAGAATAATAACTTATTGGAATGACAGCTACTAGAATTATTGGAAGGGTTCAGATGACAGCTACTAGAATTATTGGAAGGGTTCAGATGACAGCTACTAGAATTATTGGAAGGGTTCAGATGACAGCTACTACAATTATTGGAAGGGTTCAGATGACGGCTACTACAATTATTGGAAGGGTTCAGATGACGGCTACTACAATTATTGGAAGGGTTCAGATGACAGCTACTAGAATTATTGGAAAGGGTTCAGATGGTGTCTACTAGAATAATTGGAAGGGGTTCAGATGACGGCTACTAAAATTATTGGAAGGGTTCAGGTGACGGCTACTAAAATTATTGGAAGGGTTCAGATGACGGCTACTACAATAATAGGAAGGGTTCAGACAACGGCTACTACAATAATAGGAAGGGTTCAGACAAAGGCTACTAGAATTACTGAAAAAGGTTCAGATGACGGCTACTACAATAATAGGAAGGGTTCGGACAACGGTTACTACAATAATAGGAAGGGTTCAGACAACGGTTACTACAATAATAGGAAGGGTTCAGACAACGGCTACTAGAATTACTGAAAAAGGTTCAGATGACAGCTACTAGAATAATTGAAAAGGGTTCAGATGACGGCTACTAAAATTATTGGAAGGGTTCAGACAACGGCTACTACAATAATAGGAAGGGTTCAGACAACGGCTACTAGAATTACTGAAAAAGGTTCAGATGACAGCTACTAGAATTATTCCAGGAATGAATTTTATGCAAATATGTCATGAGAAAAGTTTAAAAGGTGATCCTATTGAATGAACTTCACAAGATTATTTAGGGGATTGGTATAATAAAAGCTTCTCATTTCCTTATGCAATATTCTAAAGACAATAAAACAAGAAAGTACAAGTTTAATATTGGAACAAGGGGGAATCCTCAGTAGCCTCGGCTGTAATTAGATCTCAAATCAGTCAAGAAATGGAGTTATGGGCTAAAAGTTTGTACTTGAAGAAAACTTGGAGCCATTCTATGAACCGCTATGCCATGGCTAAAAAGACAGACTAGGCTACAAGATAATTATTTTTAATAGGGTGACTGACTTATAAGTTGCTGTAAGCAGTAGCAAAGAGGCAGCTATAATTAACTAACTGAATGTTAAACAGTAGGTTTAAATCTTCTGGTGGGTGGATGTGTAAGGACAGCTCTGAAGGACCAAATGGTCCTGTGTCGTTTGTAATTTATTTACATGTTATTAAAAACCAGTATGCATAGTACGTTACATTAATGTCTAACATCCTGAAAGGTTAATACTTTTCTGCATTTGAAACTGCTACATCTCATTTATTATGCAAGTGTCCTAATTAAATGATTGACTACATATAATAAAAACAAACATATCACATGCAGTGTTTGTATAATAAAATTAGATTTACACTATCAAAGCCTACATGAATCAATATTTGTATGTCCTGCCATATTGGGCTGACCAATTGTTAATGTTAAGAGATTACTCTTCCTTAGCCAACTACACTAGACAAACCCTTTACAAGCAGTAAAACAGAAATAAATAATTTCTAAGTCACTTCATTTAAAACTTCTAATGTGTGGGGCATCTTTCAAACTATTGTACCTGGATAACAATTACATCAGGGGCATCTTTCAAACTATTATACCCGAATAACCATTACATCATGGGCATCTTTCAAACTATTGTACCCAGATAACCATTACATCAGGAGCATCTTTCAAACTATTGTCCCCAGATAACCATTACATCATGGGCATCTTTCAAACTATTATACCCAGATAACCATTACATCAGGAGCATCTTTCAAACTATTATACCCGAATAACCATTACATCATGGGCATCTTTCAAACTATTGTACCCAGATAACCATTACATCAGGGGCATCTTTCAAACTATTATACCCAAATAACCATTACATCAGGGGGATCTTTCAAACTATTATACCCGAATAACCATTATATCAGAGGCATCTTTCAAATTATTGTACCCAGATAACCATTACATCAGGGGCATCTTTCAAACTATTGTACCCAGATAACCATTACATCAGGAACATCTTTCAAACTATTGTACCCAGATAAACATTACATCATGGACATCTTTCAAACTATTGTACCCAGATAACCATTACATAAAAAACTAGCTTTAAAACAAATCTTAAATATTCAATTGTTTTATTACATAAATCAAGTAAAACCATCAAACACAGTGTTATTGTTACCCTGAACAAAATGCACAAGTGATTTTTAAACTATGAAATAAGATGAAATGGTAAAATTTGATTCTTTCACAAAATTAAAAAAGCCACACAAAAACAAAACAGTAACCTATACATCTTGTTTTCAACAGCTGTTAATTCTCTACCACTATCTAAAACTCTATTTAAGTTTAGAGAAAATGATTATTAAATCTACTGTGACATTGAAAAGTATACAATTAAGAAGGTACACCCAGAAGAAACAAAAAACAGTTAATAAAGCATATTTTCTGCATATCAGTAAATTCCTCTGACAATCAGTATCATACACTTACTTCTTTCAGGGTTATCTTGGCCGTGTACTTTATGTCACTACCATCTCTCTTAAACAGAGGATGAGGCTTGTCTCTGATGGTGAAAACAATGTCGGCAGGGATGGCTCCTGGCAACTTATCCCCCTCATTCTGAAATGTTATCTTGGTACCTGCTTTCCAGCCTGGTTTAACATTGATAGTTAAGACTTTTTCTTCGGGGCGTATGGTCCTCCCATCTGGATTTGTAACTTTACGATTAATTTTCATTTTTTTAGTGCAGCCTTTCATTACTTCTTCAAGAGTCACATACAGGTCATGCTCAATCGTGGGGTCCTGTCTTTGTGTTCTATGTCCAGTCAAATTTGGGCTACTGGTGGAAAAAGTCTGTGATCTGAAAGCATTTCCACCCCCTAAGTTTACAAATGGATCACCAGTATCCATATTGTCTTGCATAAAGAACATTCCTGTCTGGCCCCCCAAACCACCTGAAAAGAAACTCTCAAACGGGTTGTCAGTACCAAAGAAAGCTGCAAAGGTGGCTCTAGGGTCTCCATGGAAAGTGTAGGTGTACTGCTGTCCATCCTCACCACCTGGTACTCCACCCTTTAGTCCATCCTCACCATATTGGTCATATATCTCTCTCTTCTTTTTATCTGTTAGCACCTCATAAGCCTCAGCAACTTCCTTAAATTTCTCTTCTGCCTCATTTGTCTTGTTTTTGTCTGGGTGATATTTTAAGGCTAATTTTCGATAAGCCTTTTTAATTTCACCATCTGATGCATTTCTGCTGACTCCAAGGATTTTGTAGTAATCTTTTCCCATTTTCATCTGATAATAATGATATTATTAATCAGAATAAAGTTATGATGCACCAGTTTATTTTCACTCTTATTTCACAAAGACTTCTATCTGATAGTAAAACTTTTCAACTGGTAGCTTATTGTTGTTGTTTTTTGTTTTTTTTTGTTTTACATTATCAACAAATAAAATTCACGGCAGTGAAGTAATAAACAAAACAAAAACTACACAACAATAAACCAAGCTTACGAGTTACACACATTATAACGACATTAGGACATTTAGTTCTAAATTAGGGTCTAATTTTCGTGAAAGTATTTATATTAATATTAGTGTTATTAAGTAATTTAATGTCACATTATAATAAACTATATAGTGCTAACAATTTCAAACGATGTCAATTTGTTTTAATACATAAATATTAAAACACTTTGATAACAAAGAATTGTTCAATAAAAACCATAGTAAAAGAACAAGCTAAAACATCACAATTTCAATGTTAATATTAATAATATTATATACAACACGGTCCGTAAACAGTAATAAAACAAATATAAAAGTTAGTAACAGAACCGAAGTTAGAACAATCTGGTGTATAATACACTAGCTCTAAAGTCACAATTTTTGAAAATAATTAACTAGGCCTCGAAAAAAATCACTGCCTTGGACTTACCAACGTACAATTCACCACTGTGTTATTGTTAGTTAGTTTCTAAAATACTCCAATCTATAAACTCGCTAAGTCAGTTCAGATATGCTTCACAGCTCCACATCGCACCAATATTTATACTTTCGGCTACAGCGTCGTGGAACTTTCCAGAAAACTCTCGAGTTCCCTCTTGTCAGTACAGCTGAAACTTGAGCCTGCAGCAAACATTATCTCTCTGATCTTTCCTCATTATGAGTTTACTTTTAATTATCAACTACTATTTAAACATTGGCAACCATTAGATATATTCTTCTTTTATAATTTACACATAATGAATAACTTTTAAAATTCTCCAGAACGTTCTGGTCCTTGCGTCATATCCGGCTAAAATCCTGGCGTTTCAATAATTTTCTAATAATTAAACACACACACAAGAAAAAATTATAAACTTTAAAAAAATTCATTTTGTTTAATTAATAACTATTTATTAAGACAGTTAACTTATGAAGTGAAGCATTGTTTCTGGTAAATGAAAAGCAAATTTCCATCTTCTGTAGTTGCCTTTCTCAAAGAGCAGAAATAGAACTACGTAAATCAAGCAGAAACGAAAATGTATATAAAATATTGGTTGTTTTGTCCAACTTTTTCGAAACAACGAATAAGTAGCATATTATCTGTAACGAATTCGTAATCATATATTTATTTTGATATCAACATTTGTTTAGATTAAATCTATATTTAGCAAAATACACAGCTTATAGTGTTAAATATGTATTGCGATACTCTCGCCTATTCTCCAAAGTTGTAGAAGATTCTCGAGAGTAAAAATGAACAATATATGTATGTGTGCGTAAACAATTAAATTGCATTGTTACATAATCTGAATTTTCTAGAAAACCTTCCCACCGCCATAAATATAACCAACGCCACGCGCCAGAGAGTATCTATTATTAGTTCGCTATAATCAATGCGCTATAAAACTTCGGAAGCTATAATTATGATTGTTATAACGCTAATCGATCGGAAAACTTCAGATATTTGACCAGAAATATTTATAAATTTCGAACATTATAAACCGTTTAACTTCAGAGGATTCTCATTGGACATTAGTATTTTTATGAGAACGTTATATAAATTCACCGCGCGCGTGACTGGTGAAGAATGAAGGACAAAGACTCAGCGTGTGTGGCCGGCAAATAACGAGGGATAAAGCTAGCTAACTTCCCGTGAAGTGAATTATATTATGTTACGTCACTGTTCGTTTGTTAATTTCCGGTATAAATTCTTTCCGAGGACTTCAGCGATACAAGTCTTTTCTTAAATAAATCTAGTTCATTTTTCTCTCGCTACAACTTTGTAATACACAGAATTTCCACAGTTACTTTAACTTAACTACTTTTATAAACACACGCTATAATTCACAGCGATTCACACACTTTACTTACTGTGCCTACTGTTTGCTTGACTCTATTATCTCTATCTTCAATCTATCTGCATATCTCTTCATCGCTGGCTTATATACTAAAAAAAGAGGGCGTCTAATAAACACTGGGACATTCGTGAGGTTCCCCGATAAGTCATGATCCTTCTAGAAAATCCAGCGCGTATGCTCCCAGAGTCGCGTGACTTCCGCTGTCGTAACAATATCTACGTCAACTTGTAATCAACTTGCTCATCATGAACCCTCAATAAGATATCGAAGATGTTCCAGATTAAAAGAAAGACTTTATATTGTTTGTAATAATTATTATTGTAAATTGTACTGTTGGGTGTATATTAAAACGTATTTGAGTTAAAAAAGAATAATGTATATCAATCTTGTTGGCAAATATCATAAACAGACTATATATAGGCATTTGTTTAAATACTAAATCCAAAATATAATTTAACTACTAAATTTAAATTTTCAGTTAACTCAATTTCAAACCATTTGAAATTCTAATACATAACGCACCTGAATTATATGCACACGTGGAAATATACCAAGAATTGTATATCATCTTGTATTATTATAGAATTTATTATGAATTTATGATTTATTCTATATTTGTACAGGTGTCAACATAACACATGGTCGAGATCTTGATGTCGTTCTAGCTTCTGTTATTTATTTACTGAAGATAATGTGATATATCTAGGTGAACCTTTAGAGCTGTATCAGATAGATAACAGGAGATTCCCTCAACATATCAATTACAAAGTAATATTAAATCTCTTACTGACTGAATTGATGTAAATCGAAGTAACGAGATCGAACATAAATGAACAATCTTTATTAGAATACTAAACAAAAACAGCGCGTGTACTTGCTGTTTCTTACATGAGACGATCACCTTTACTGAACCACAGGAATGGCTACTGAAGACCAAGGTTCAGACTGTACTAATTAAATGATGTTCCAGCCCAAATGACAAAATGCAACGTTACTTAGTTCTCAGTAAGCGTCACACCTACCTAGGGTTACTTGTTCTACTCATATGAATAGTTATCAGAATTTAAGATATATTATTTTTTTCCAATTGTCAAAATAAAAGTATTTACTTATACTTCTTAAAAGTATAAATATTGTTACGACAGCGGAAGTCACGTGACTTCAGTAACACGTCATGATATTCTCGAAGGTTCGTGAATGCTCGAGTGTTGCGGTATTCTTGTGCATAAGTGCGCCAGACAATGAATCGATATAGAATTGCAGACAGGCAGAGAAGGACAATTGAGTCAAGCGCGGTAGTAAGTAAGTGCGTGAATCGTTCGTTGTGAATTATAGCGTGTGTTTAAGTTAAATTGATTGTGGAAATTAAGTGTATTGCAAAGTTGTATTGAGAAAGAATAAACTAGTTTTACTTAAGAAAGGACTTGTATCGCTGAAGTTTTTCGGAAGGAATTTTTTCGGGAAATTAACAAACGACCAGAGACATAACAATATGTACTGTTGCGTCAGCGAGTCACATGACCACTGTGGCGCCCTCTAATTTCTAGAACTATCTTGTTCTTTCAGGAATGCTCAAGTAATTGCTAGATATAGGGTAGGCTGGTATATAAAAGAAGGTAATGTGTGTATAGACAGTGAGTAATTGAACTGCAGTCAGAGAGAGACGTATTGTTGTAGTTAACGTTCGTTCGTTATTATAGTTTGTTATAACGCGACTGTTGAGAATAAGTGTATCGGTAAAGTTGTATTCGGAAAGAATAAACCAGTTTTATTAAGTAAAGAACATGTGTCGCTTAAGTTTCATTGGAACGAAGTTACGGAAAGTTAATTAACAAACGGAGACGTAACAAATTGGACATATTGACTATAAATCATGTTTCAAACATAATATAAAACGTTGCATGAATTAACTCCACTTCG